CTGCTCTCAGCCATGGAGCATGGGTGGCTTCTCCACTGGCAAGAGGCAAGGAACAGACTCTCCAGCATAACTCCAGAAGGAGCACGGCCCTCCTGAGCAGTCACGTGGTCAATCTGTGTTGTTGGAAGCCACTACATTTGTGGTCATTTGTTACAGTCATAGGAAATTCATACCGTTCCTGTGACCTTTTGTGCTTCGTCCAACCCTGGGGCAGAAGGATCTCAAAATCAGCATGGTGCTGGGCCAGCTCCAACAGCCTTACGAGGGGCAGTTACAAATCACTGTCCGGGAATTAACCAACTCAGCATTCAATAATGCTACATCAGTAGCCAGAAAATGCAAATTCACCCCATGGTGAATGCCTGAATGCTCTGAATAGGGTCTTTCCCTTCCCCCGACACCATCCCACCTCCCCCACCCTATAAACCTTAACCAGTGTGTCCCCCCATCAGGATCCCATCGAGTTTTTTACCCTATGTCCCATTCACTGTGTCTTTCTCACGTATTTCCCTATGCCCACATCAGTTTCCCAGCCATGATCCCATAAAGCCAGGGCCACATCAAGGTCCCTTTTCAGAAGTCAACACCATACCCATGGTGGTGCTGATGAAATACATAAGTTTACAAATAAACAAGATAAAACCTGACCTCTGAAAGCTACGGCTGTTTGGGGAATGTAACAGTAATGCCATGCCACCTGACATTACTTGGAGTGGCTGCCTTCCCTAGGATTTGGAAATCCTGATCTGACTTAAAACACAATCCAGGCCCCTCCCTCCTGGAAACCAGCCTCACCACTCCGCCACTCCCCAGCCTTGGTGCCTACCACCTGGAAGCCTTGGTGCCTTTTGCAGACTGTCTGCCTCCCCTGTTAGACTAGTAGCTTGCTGGGGGTGGGGGAGAAGTGTGGGGAGAGCATGTGATCCTGTGTCCCCAGGACTCACCAGCATGAAATTAGCATCTTACAGGCAAGGGTAGAATGAATCAACACAATCTCTCTTGCCTTCCCTTCTCTGCTCCTCATGTCACAGCTGAGCCCCGATCCTTCTTCTAGATTTTTTCCCCCACAGCCTGGCCCAGCTCCACCTTGACAGCCCTTCAGTGTGACCTTGAGAACCTATGACTGGGCAGTGTCATCCTCCTGGAACCCCCTGACTGTGGCCCCCTGAGCCATTGTTCAAGTGCGGCCTCAGCTGCTGTTGGCTCGACCTGGATCCCAGGAGGTGACCCTGTGGCTACCCCCAGCTCCTCCCCTGACTCTGGGGAGAACTGGGGAACAGTCCCACTGGCCTAAACTCTGTGCAGATCCTCTCAGGATGGCCTGCCTCTGGCCCCATGCCCATGACCCTGGCACTCCCATCCTGCATTCCTGAGACTGGCAAAGCAGATGCAGGCATTGTGAGGTGATTCTGGGTCAACCACAAGAGGTCAACCACATCCTGGCTGCAGGATGCCCTCTGACCACCAAAGCTGCTCAACACAAAGGATGGCCCCAGAGACAATCTGCCTGTGGGGGGCCATGGTGACCACAGTGTTGGAGTCCCTCTGCCTCCTTCCTCCTGGGCATGGGAAAATGCCAGATAGCTGGCATACAGATGGTATACACAGATAAAGTCTTGATCTGTGTATAACAAGAGCAACAACACTATTTAACATAAACTAGGCGCTGGTCCCAGAACACAGCTGGCAGGCACTGGTTCATTTCACCCTTGTTGTAGCCAAATGAGGCAAGATATTTTACATGTGAGACTGAGATGCAGAGAGGCTAGGCTAGGGAACCTACCCAAGGTCACACAGTCAAAAGCTGAGCTGGATCTGAACCAGGCTCAGAGGCCAGGCTAGCTCATTAGAAGACACATGCAGGAACCAGCATCGTGGTGCCCGCAATGCCAGCATCCCACATGAACGTCGGCTTCGGTCTCTGTTGCTCCACTTCTCCCTGAGCCATCACTTGCTGTCTCCCTGGGGAAACATTACTAAAAAGTTGGGTCAGAAGTAGAGACCCAAATTCAGGGACTTCGATTGGGTAATCCAAATGCTGTGCCAAGCACTCAACTCAGCATGATTTTAGAACGGAGATTACTAACTCTCAGAGAGGTTAGGGAACTATCCCAAGGTCACAGAGCAGCAGCAGAGCCCACAGTCTGCACTCCCTGACATCAAGCTGTCCTGTCTCTCAAAGAACATGAAAAGCAGGCTTCAGGGCCCTGCACAGTAGCCTAGTGGCTAAAGTCCTCACCTGGAATACACAGGGATCCCATATGGGTGCTGGTTCTAATGCCGGCAGCCCTACTTCTCATCCAGCGCCCTGCCTGAGGCCTGGGAAAGCAGGTGAGGACGGCCCAAAAGCTTGGGACCCTGCATCCATGTGAGAAACCTGGAAGAGGCTCCGGGATCCTGGCTTCGTATAGGCTCCTCTTGGGCCATTGCAGCCACTTAGGGAGTCAATCAACAGATGGAAGATCTTCCTCTCTGTATATCTAACTTTCCAATAAAAATAAATCTTAAAAAACAAAACAAAACCAAAAAAAAAAAAAAAAGCAAGCTTCAGGCACCTGACGAGACAGACTCAGTCTTGCAGATGAGAAACTGAAACTCACAGAGTGACAACCCCCCACACACAGCCAGCACGGCCACCCTCCTGATCCTCAGGTTCCAAATCCAAAGATTCAGCCAACTGCAGATGGAAACACTAAAGGTACTCCTAGCTGCACCTCTATGCTGAACACACACAGATATTTTTTTTCCTTACTTCCTAACAGTGCAGTCTGACAACTATGCACTTAACACCGACCATCGCGTGCGTGTTTGCAAGTAGTCTACAGATGACTTAAAGGGCACAGGAGGGGGCAAGCAGGCGATACAGCACTTAAGACACCACTGGCCCACATCATACAGAATGTCTGAGTTCGAGTTCTGTGTCCAGCTTCCCACCAATGCACAGCCTGGAAGGCAGCAGGTAACAGGTCTATACTGCCACATGGGAGATCAGAACTGAGTGCCGAGCTACAGCCTGGCCTAACCATTCCACCCTGTGTGGTTGGAAGATTTGTGTTTGTCTCTGTCTCTCAAGTAAGTGGAAATACTTTTTAAAATACTCTCAAAGACAAACAAACAAAATCAGGCAGGTTTTCAAGTTAAACATGCGTAAAGGTACATAGGCTATGTGCAATACCATGCCATTTTATTCCATGAGGGTCTCGAGCACACACGGGGTTCAGCATCCTTTTAGAGTCTGAAGCAAATCTCCCAACAACACTAAGGGACAACTATGTGTGTCCTCAGGAAACCAAGTCCCTGAGGCTGCTCCAAAGATGGACCTCCAGACCACACTGTGGCAGCACTGCCCGTGTGCCCCACACACTCACAGGACACTCTGCTGCCCTCCGGTCACTCCACCCCAGGTAGCCCCACCTGTGGGCTCACACAGTGGCACCCAGTCCTGACATCCGCTTGGTCCTTGCTGGGTCTTCCTCACTCCTTTGGGAAGACAGAAGCAAGCAGTAACACCCCCAGTTCCATAGGAGACACAGGCCACATGGCCAGCCAGACAGGGCTAGCCCAGAGCCCTGCTCTCGGATTCCCAGCACTCCCAGACCACCATCCTCGCACTTGCTCTCTCTTTACTTCTGCAACATACTATTTTTCCTGATTACAAAAATAACATATGTTCAAGGAAAAATGCGGAAATACAGGGAAAGTACATTACAAGAGGCTAGAAGCCCCCAGAAACAACCAGGTGGAACCTCTAGTGATTGTATTTGTTTTCACACCCAGAGCCCTGCTGTCTGCTGTGCCTGCCCTCGTGGCTTTGTGGAATCAGTGACTGGCCTTGTCCAGACCCTGGCAGAGCAGGCAGGGGGTGGGGGAGTTCCCTGTGCAGCCTTCGGGGAGAGGTGGTCACCTCTTTCTGCCCCTAAGATACGTGCAACCCTCCGGCTCTTCAGGCCCCTGGGATTCCACATTACTCAAGTGTTTCCTGGCTCTTACCAGGAAATGGGGATGTTTGTGACATTGATAAAAGTCACAAGAGGAACCTTTCCTCCCAAAGCCTACTGCAGTTCAGTAAGAAGTAAGCACTTTCAGATCCCAGTCCCTGTAGGAGACGCTGTAACTCGGTTTGAATTTTACAGGTTTTTGACCTTAAATTTTTTTGGTCCCCCTCACTGCTGCCTGAAATGGAGCCCCTGGTGTTCCGTCTTGGAGCACGATGTTGGGTTCTAAGCCATCCTCCAGTTATTCCCAGAGAGACTAGCACGTACCACACACTGTGGCAAGGTGGAATAGACAGGCTGCAAGCTTTAGCCCACACAAATGGCTGAGCAACCCCAAGCTAACCACTTAATCTCCCTGAGCCTTCATTGTCACGTTTATAAAATGCCTCCCTCACGGGGCTTTTTAAATTATTAACTCAGTGCCTCGCATATAACTAATGGTTCCCTTCCACACCCTCATATGAATAAACACGATGATTAAATGAATGTGACTTGGGTTATGGGCAGGGGTGGGGTTGTAGGCTCCAGGAACTGTATGGATACTGGAGATTTTTGGAACAGAAAATGGAGCAGGCTGAAAGTTTGGGAAATTATGAAAAAAAAAAGACAGGGCTGTGGGAGGGAAAGGACAGGTTCAAAAGAGGACCACAGAGCCCCAGGAGGGCTTAAAGACTGAGCTTAAATCATTGTCCCATCTGCCTCATCTGGGCCCACTGAGGCCCAGGAAAGGAGCAGCATGCCTGAAGTCACCTGTCAACTCTGACAACCAACTCTCAGGGATTTTCAGGATCTGTGAGGCTGGGGTCAAGGACGAGGAGACCACTTTGCTCCCAAGGGAGTGCAGCAACTGCCCCCACAGCTGCCCCCAAAGAGAAAGCACCAGCCTGACCCCTCTCAGCACCTCCCTGCCTGCAGCACCAGTGCCCTCTCCCAGGCTGCCAGGTCCTGTCACCCCTTGGGGCCCCTAGGCAGGCCCACCCCACCCTGAGTGTATCCCCCACCTACCGGAGCCAGGTGGCCACTTGTGGGACTGCCCCGCTAAGCCTGAGCAGAGAGAAGCTGCAGCCGGGGCCTCTGCCTCAGGGAGTGTGACTGTCACAGCACGTCCACACTCTGGACAGCTGCCTTCAGGCTTCCTGCTTTTACACTGGAAGGAAAACCACCCCCTGTCTCCACCCCACCCTGCTACACAAAAAAAATGAGTCAAACACAACTGATCCCCCTAACATGTAAAAGCACACACACACACACACACACACACACACACACAACTGTTTGATCGCTTTGGAAAACATGTGTCTCCAGCCACCCCTCCTGGAATGATTCCCAGGCAACTGGGCTGATGACATGAACAGCCCAGTTCAGGCCTGGGCTTCTGCTTAGCCTGCTGTCCACCTAGATGGCCTTCCCAATATCATCTGCCAAGCTCTTCCAGCTTCGGGGATCCTGTACACCTCCCAAGCGGGGTTTCACTCCCACGTCCTCCTCCGGCCAGTGCTAAACCTCAGCCAGTCTCCTTCCAGGCTGTGCTACACCTGCTACCCTACAATGCATCAGCATAGTCTCATCTCCTAGACTTCCAAACCCTTGTCCCCTCTCCCAACTCCTATCCCTCCAGTCACCACCATCACAGCACTGTCCAGATAACAGCCTGCCAGCTGTCTGCTCCCCTGAGCCAAGCATCAAAGGACATTGTTCCCAGACGGTAGGATGTGGACTTGGGCATCTGCCTTTGTCTAAGGTGTGAAAGTCTCTGACAATGGAGGCCAAGCCTGCGATGGATTCTCAGGAGACCCTATGCATGTGTGGGCCACATGTCTCTCCAGGCCCAATGACTGTGAGGACATCTCTGAAGAGTAAGAACCAGGGAGGCATCTAGTGTCAGCCACAGATTCCCAGGTCCTGAAAACAGCTGAGTTCCAGCACCTGGGCTCCTTCATTAGGCTCTCCCACTCTTAAACATTCTTACTTTAAAATAATTTTTAGACTTGATAAAATGCACAGGATTCCTATAAATCTGTCAGCCAGTACCCTTGCATAATCTCAGCACAATGAGATTACTGACATGTTACTATGGATTAATTTATGGATTGTTATGACTTGAGTGTGTCCCACTCAAAAGTTCATATGCTGGAAGCTTAGTCTCCATCTGAGTGGACTGGCTCTCCCGAGGACAGCTTGTTACAAAGTTCAGCTGTCTTGGCTCTCTCGTGCTGCCTGTCTCACAAGTGACCCTTTCTACACTGGCTCCTATTGTTATTATGAGGTCACCATTCAAAAGTGAGCAGATACTGGGGCCACACTCTTGTAGACACAAGGCCCTACTCTTGTCTTTTCAAAACACCCAACCTCACGTATCTTATTATAAAGGGACTAATGTGAAGATCTTGTTCAGATATCACCAGTTGTCTTCTAACATCCTGTCCCTGGCCCAAGATCTAAACCAGAACCCTACATTGCAAGTGGTAGTTGAGCCTCTTCCATCTCTTCCTTCTGGAACAGCTTTTCCATCCTTCTCTGTCTTGATAAGTTTCAAAGTATTAGCCAGTTCACCTTGTAGAATTTCCTAAGTTCCAGTCTTCTATTTCTTCATAATTAGATGGAGGTTACGTAGTTGTGGCAGGGACACCATGGAAGTGATGTTATACCCTCCTTGGTGCCCCACATCAGAACAACATGAGTTCTACAAGTCCTTTTACTGATCGTTTCACTTGGATCACTTGGGAAAGTAATTCTCTGGAAGACTTTTCCATTGCAAAATTATTATTTATTCCCTCATAATTAATGAGCATCCTGAGATAATTTGAGATTGCACAAATACCCTCTCATTAATTTTAGCATCCACTGGTGAGATTTTCCAATAATTATGACTGTGGTGTGTGCCAAATGGCAGTTTTCTATTTCTATAACTCTTTCTATATTAATTCATTGGAGTTTTTCTGTAAGAAAAAGTGGATCCTTCTCCTTATTCATTGATGTGTATTAGTACGGATTTGTTACTATTTACTTTATTCTGTTACTCAGTGATCATTATTTATCTTTCTAGCCAAATTATCTCATCCTCCTTTAAGCTATCTCAACCCATCTGCTTCCTAGTGAGCTAATTTTCCTACTGAGCCATGGCCAAGGCTAAGTCACCCGCCCTCCGTATCTCTCCCCAGCAACAGCATGTCAAACACCCTCTCCCTGGTGTGCAAGGCAGGTGACAACAGACCTAATGCCTCTGTGTGGGTAGCCAGGTTTCCCTGGAACTCACTGAGGTATCTTCCCTGCAAGGGTTGGACTTTTCCTAGAATGGGCAGGCTGCTGAAACGGGAAATCTGTTATAGTCTGGTCAGGGGAACCCCATGCCCCTCCGCCGCTCTGCAGTACTTATCTCCCCTCCAGCTCCACCAGCGGACATCCTGAGCTGCTCCCCACAGGGCCCCGCTTCTCTGCCCTGCTTGGAGACAGTGACTGATAAGCAGCACTTACCAGCTGTGCTCCATCAGTTCCCAGGGCAGCCCCACTAGAAATGGCTGTACATTTTGCCAAGAGTGACTCAAATGGAAGAGACAGGAGAATTCCTGATGTTGGCAGGGAGTGGGAAGGAAGAAAAAAATCAATGAACTAATTTTCTTCACACTTTCAGACATGCAAGGGTTAGGGTTAGACTGAATCCAGCACTTAGAACAAAGAGCCTCTCCCATAGGTTGTCATACCACTTCGGCTTCTGAAGAAGACAATTGGGTCTTTACTATTAGGCTGGATTTCTTAACATGTTTCCATTTTCAACACACTGGACACAGCTACACTCGTGGTGAAAAGCAGTGTATCTCACAAAACACCTGCTTCTTATCTGAACATGGAGTGAGCATCTGTGGACATCTGAACCTGTGGCTGATCCTTCCTGACCTACAGCACCTAGCTCCCGTTCCACCTCCCCATGGAAGCTTCCCCAAACCTCTTACAACCTATTGAAACCCCTAGTGAGCTTCCTATCTTGCTCTGTAGGGGAGTTATTTCTCCTGACTCCCTACCAGACAGCTGATGCACACAGAGCACCGAACGTTGTTCCCACACAGAACAGGAGCTCGAGAGACACTAGCCAGCAGCTTCCTGTTGGGAGAAACCCAACACGGCCCTGCTTCTCCCTCTATCATTAGCTGACTCTTTCCCACCCTTTCCTCTTCCTGAAGCCAAGTGTACCCCATTAGCTGAGCCCACAAGAGAGTCGGGTTAGTCCTTTTCCAGGGTCCTAAGACTCTGAAATCCTAAACTGCAAGGTTGTTGTACGGTTTGGAAGTTTGGATGAGCACTCATTTACTTTGATTAGACAGCATGCCAGAATCTCAGCCCAGCTTCTTCCTATCATGCGCCATTGACAACGGCACAACAGGAAGAGATGTCACTCATCTCACCTCTTCCACTTCCTCTTTTGGCACCATTCCCCAGACAGGTCCCCTCCGGCCGTGTCTGCCCATCATCCTAGAGTCTCTCAAGCTCCAGAGCTTGAAAGGGTGCTGACAAAGCTAAGGCTGTGTGTGTGTGTGTGTGTGTGTGTGTGTGTATGAGAGAGAGAGAGACCTTTTCCAGTCCTTGCATTTGACATGGAGACAAGAACCTTCTACCTCTGGGATATTCTTGCCTCAGTTCAAATGCATTTGCTTGTAATCAAATGAATCCATATTGATTCACTTATCAGAATCCTTTGAGCTATACAGCAGATGTAAGAGTGACGGATTTGCCCTCCAGGTGTCCTCTGTGTGGGCTGTCATACTGAGGTAATCACACTCATTTAGCAGAGGGGGCTGCCAAGGCTCAGAAACGGAAATTTTACTTGCTCAGAAGCATACAGCAGGTAGGAGCCACATGGACTTTCTGACTCTCACCTCAGTGCTCTCTGGCCACTCTCTTTGTGAATATTCTAGTTCATTCTTTGCTTGTTCCTTCTTTCCAGCCCCTCCAACTCAGATCCAATTTGGTATTCCATCTGAAAACCTTTCTGTTCCAACACACAGCATAGCACAGCCAGCTCTTCACATTCAGTAGACATCTGAATGCATGCTTTGATGCAGAAAGCCTTTTAGAGTCACCTGTCTTATCTCTGATGGATCTCAGTGCTTATGTTTTCTTAAGATTCATTTTTATTGGAAAGGCAGATATACAGAAAGGAGATACACAAAGAGGAAGATCGTCCATCCAGTGGTTCACTCCACAAGTGACCGCAACAGTTGGAGCTGAGCCTATCCTAAGCCAGGAGCCAGGAGCTTCCTCCAGGTCTCCCATGTGCATGCAGGGTCCCAAGGCTTTTGGCCATCCTCAACTGCTTTCCCAGGCCACAGTCAGAGAGCTGGACAGTAAGAAGGGCCACTGGGATTAGAATCTGCACCCATATGGGATCCTGGTACATTCAAGGCAAGAACTTCAACCACTATGCTATCGTGCCAGGTCCTCAGTGCTTTTTGTACACAAGGCAACAGCCACCTGGAGCTCCGTTTCCCAGAACGTGGAGTGGGAGCAGGCTGGGCTGAGTGACAGTCCTGATTCCCAGCAGGGGTGGCATCCTGCTGTGCGCTCTGGGACTCGCTCTCTGTGCTTCCGGAGCTCAAAGGATGGGCATGCCCAAGCTGCCCTGGGTCAGAGACTGGGAGCAACAGCTGGACAACACCTGGGGTTCCAAATGGAAAGGACATCCTGTGGGACCTGGAAATGTACTCACTGCTCTGCCTGGAAGCGGGCGAATGGCATGGACACGGTGAGCTGCCAGCTCTCTGCAGCCAGTTTTCTTTTCCCTGCAACTCTTTCCTGTTAAATGCTTTCAAGGTCCCTGGTGATGGAATCTGATAGTTCATCAACAGATGGAAACCGGAGACCTTGGCTGTCCACCCCTTCACCTCTCCACCCCATCTTTCCATCTCTCCATCCAGGGAGCCATCTCCAGGTGCCTGTCCTAGCTCAGACTCCAGAATAAAAAACAGAATAATAATGCTGACTACTGCTTTCATGGCACTTGAGCTGTACTGCACTGTTTTAAATGATCGACATAAGTTACTGCGTGCAACCCT